ACATCTCTAAGATGTTCAAATGTCCAATGAACGGTGCACGGTCGTAAGATTCGATATCGGCCGTCCATTCGACCACTCCCTATTTGCCCCTGATCTCACGCCTATTTACGAGCTATGCCACTCCAGAAAATCTATAAATATAGCCCTCATTCTTCACAAAGGGAGGTCCAAGAAAGAAGAGAAGAGGAGAAGGAAGAAGCTCCTCCTTGACCACCGCCGGAACCTCGCCGGACCACCGCAGGAGCCTCGCCGGACCACCGTCGAACCACCGTCAGAGCCTCGCCGGACCACCGCCGGAGTTTCTCCGCACCACCACCTCAAGGCTCGACGTTTAGGCCCGATGTTCAGGCCCTACGTTCAGGCCTGACATCTTCATCTGAGGCCCTCACCTTCGCCACAGGCCCTCACTTTTACCAATGGCCTTCACCATCGCGAGAGGCCCTCACCTTTGCCAGAGGCCCTTGTCTTCGCCAGATCATCATCAAATGCCGTGTGCTCCACCAGAACATCACATGAGGCCCTAACTTCCGCCGAACCACTACTTGAGGCATTGAGCTCCACCAGGCCACCATTTGATGCCCACAGTTCTCCCAGAATACTGCCGACTACGATCCTTTCGACCTCCGTCGCCTACTACGGTCACTCCGACCTCCATTACAGGACAACAGTCTTTATGACCCCAGTATCCTACCGACTACGGTCCTCCCGACCTCCGTCGCCTATTACAGTCACTCCGACCTCCATCATAGAACAACGGTCTTTCTGTAAAACCCTTAAAAAGCTGATTTTTTTAGTGCTGTTAGTCCCGGACGAACTGGCCTTAGTCCCGGACGAACTGAAGAAAATTGTAAAGAAATCTGCCAATTTCGTTTGTACGAACCTGGAACAGTCGGGACGAACCGCACCCGAGAGCATCGTCGAGGGATGAAACAAATTGGAATTAATGTCGTCTGTACGATCCGTGTCCAGACGAGTTCATCCCGGGACGATCTGGGCATCGTCCTGGACGATCCTGCTTAATAAGTATCGGATTTGAGATATTTTGGAAATATTTTGAAGAGAGAGAAAGTGAAGGCAGGAGAGAGAAGGAAAGAAAGGGAAAACTTGATTTTTGAAGCCCGCGGAGCGCTTTTCGTCCGACGACACAGTTGGAAGATTTGTCTATCTCGTAGTAAGGACTCCGAATCCTATTTCTGATTTCGAAGATTTCGAGTTTTGATATTTTTGTGCTTAGATTTGTGTTTCTGTTACCGAAAAACGTGCATAATTTTGCATTGACGAAAGTTTTATCGCACAACTTTTGATATATTTCTGATATGATATTTTTACACGATTTGAGTATTTTCTGGAAAGTTTTCGCCGGATTTTTTAGTTCTGTGCGGTTTGAATCGAATAGAAAATAATCTGGTTGTTGAAACTTACTGCTTCAGTACGAATAAAGTTTTGGAATATTGTTTTACATGATTTCTAGTAATTTGGTAATTTTCTGGAACTGTGCATTTTACTACTTTTGTCTACTATACGATATTTTAAGGAATTTTCCAGATTGAGCTAAATTATGCTTATTGGTTGCCATGCATTGATAAGATAATGATGAATGTTGTTATATGATTGAAAGCACTGTTATATTACTGTGATACTACTGTGTGTATGAAAGACAAGTAAAGATTGATTGAACCGTTGGTTAGAGACATGATACCTGTACAGAATGGTTGGCCGACGGGCTTTCCTTTAAATAATGGTTTGGTGTTATCCTCTACTGATTACGTGATTACTGAAGGGAGTCATAAGAAGATGAATACTGTGCTAACGGGCAAAGAGTGACGACTCTTTTTACTGAGCCAATGGATACAAGATTCAAGATACTGATACTGATACAAGACTGAAAAACACCTTAATAGCTAGTACTTCTACTTGCTATATATGATTATTGTACTGAATTGTATGTTAGCAGTATTGTTACTGCTATTGACGAATTTATTGATACAGATGGATTTATTGTTATTATACGGATTTATCGTCACTGTAAGGATTTTCTGTTAATGCATGATTTCACTGTTATAGCATACTGTTCATGTCACTGGACTGTTACTGATACTGATATTGATACTACTGATTCACTGTACGGACATTATGCACGTGATATACTGAATAGTGACATGTGATTCACTGCACACGTGATATTGACTGTAAATGACAATTTTTATGGTATTGATTGATTCTATTAATTGATTCCAACTGTTTTAAATGTTATTATGATTTATTGACTGATTTGATTGATTTAATCGATATTAATGATATGAGGATTTCTTTAATGATATAGATTCAATGATTTCTATTGAGATTTGACGCAAGCACTGATTTATTGAGCTTTACGGACCTTTAAACTGTTTACTGGTTCTTCTGTGGATTGAGGAGTTTACTGTTTCTTATTGATACTGTTTACGCACTGACTATCGTTACTGTACTGATTTCCGTATCTGCATTGATTCAATGATCATGTGTAACTGACTGTTATTATTTGACTGATTGACATGCATATTGCTTCTATACCGTGCTGATTTCAGTGGTAGGTATTAGGTGATCTGCTGGGCTTTTTGAAGCTCATTATAAGTGGTTAATATTTTCAAGTCAGGGCAAGGGAGCAGAAGATTGAGGTTGATCAGGAATCTTCTGGTTTTTGTTCTTTTGGTTATAGTGATTCTTTTGTACTCAGGACATGATAGATTACATGTGATTAATGTGTAGATCCTGAGTATTGTATATGAACTTTTAAGATATGAATAGAATTGTACATTGATGTTTTAACTTATTGATTTTGTTAGACTGTTTGTTATTGATTGAAGACTATAGATAGCTCTGGTAAATGATTAATGGTTTTAATGATTGATCGAAATTCTTTCCAAGTTAGATCTTGGCGCGTTACACTTTCTGACCCCAGTCACCTACCGACTACGGTCCTCCCGACCTCCGTCGCCTATTACGTTCACTCCGACCTCCATTATAGAACAACGGTCTTTCTGACCCCAGTCACCTGCCGATTACGGTCCTCGCGACCTCCGTCAACTATTATGGTCACTCCAACCTCCATCACAAGACAACGACCTTTCCGACCCCGGTCTCCTGTTAACTACAGTCCTTCTGACCTCTGTCTCTTGCCAACAATGGCCCTTCCAACCAAACAAACATGTCTATGTTGATTATTGTAACTCCCACAATATAATAATACGTTTTATATGACGTACATTTGTAACATCAAGCTAAGGCCTTCTCCCTAAGAAGGGCCTCATTTGTAATCGACTGCAAATACTAGTGGATTCATTCAAATTGGGCCAGGCCCCGTGGTTTTTCCCCCTTTTCAGGGGTTGTACCGCCGCGAATATTGCAGGACGCAACAATTATTAAAGTCAAAGTTTTATTTGTGACACTTTTCTTATTTCATTTTATTTTTAAATTTATTTAAAAGCACAGACTAAAAACCTTTCAAAGTAAAACCTAAATCTAAAACTAATGAAATTTAATTTTTTTATGGTAAGATCAAAATATATTAAAATAAAAATTTGCATTTAAAATTTACCTAAGATAAAAAATTTTATTTTTTAGGCATATTATTTTTAAATTTTTCATAATTTTTTACAAAATTTAAGTACCCAAATTTTTTATATATTAATATATTTAAAATCTAAAATTAGATATTTATTTATGTGATATTTAAATTTAAAATTACAATAAAATCAATAATATTAAAATAAATATAAATATTTTCTCAATATTAATATTAAATGATAGGTAAAAAAATATACAAATCTAATTACTAGATATTTAATACTCATTAATGCATTTAACCAAAATAAAAAATAAAACTCATTGAAGCGTCCAGAAAACTCTGGCAGAATATAAAAAACAACAAAACCTTGCGGCCAATTTTGAACCGTCTTCACAGTGTGCCCTTCGTCGAAACTCGGCCCACGATGGCGTCACCGCCTTGAAGTTATACCGCATCAATTAATTACATGAACGGCCGGTCACCAACCGACCTAATTCAATGTATCAAATAATTAAGTAGTCTACGAGTGTGGAAGGTAAGCTGACCGCATGAGTACTACTGCGGAAGGAAAGTCGGCCAATAATGCTATAAAAAAGCATCCAAGCCTAAGAGCCTTATCATCTGTTCGCTCTTCTCTTATCTCTCTCAAACTTTTAGGCTCCTAATTTTCCTCCCAAGGTTTGTTCTTTTCTTTCTATTTGGTAGATTTTGTGCATACTTTCTTTCTGTAATAATTTTGATCAATTTATTCGTTTTCTTTGTGTTAATCTTAGATTTTTTTTAGAATTATCTTATGGCTATATGCTATGTTACTGATTTCCTCTACCATCTGCTGTTTCTTTGAAGTGTTGGTTCTGTGAAATTTTTTGAAAGCTTTTTGACCGATTTAATCGTAGGGTTGGATGATGGGAAGTACCACCTCGATCGATCTGCTAGATCTTCTTTCTGCTCTCCTTGATCTTTGATTAGGATACTGTTTCCTCTCTTATGGCTTAAAAGATCTTGTTTACTTTTTTTTTTCCTATGATATTCATCAGCTATTACCTTGTTTCTGAAACCGTCTTGGTTGTTGAGGTCTCTGATTCAATAATTTTCCTATTATGATTCTTTTTTTTAGTTACTTGATTTATTTGCATGTAATTTGAGCGTCCTTTTTTCTTTGATTACGCTGGTATCTTTGGCACTTCTTCGTGGATCTATAGATGGCTGATCTGATTAATTTATGGAGGTTTGGTTTTATTGTTACAGATGCAGATCTTCGTGAAGACTCTCACCGGCAAGACGATCACCCTCGAGGTGGAGAGTTCGGATACTATTGACAACGTAAAGGCCAAGATCCAGGACAAGGAGGGCATCCCTCCAGATCAGCAAAGGCTGATCTTTGCCGGCAAACAGCTTGAAGATGGCCGCACCCTTGCTGATTACAACATCCAGAAGGAGTCCACCCTTCATCTAGTTCTCCGTCTGAGGGGAGGGATGCAGATCTTCGTAAAGACTCTCACTGGCAAGACGATCACCCTAGAGGTTGAGAGCTCTGACACCATTGACAACGTTAAGGCCAAGATCCAGGACAAAGAGGGTATCCCCCCGGACCAGCAGAGGCTGATCTTTGCCGGCAAGCAGCTTGAAGATGGCCGCACCCTTGCTGATTACAACATCCAGAAGGAGTCCACCCTCCATCTGGTTCTCCGTCTGAGGGGAGGGATGCAGATCTTCGTGAAGACTCTAACCGGCAAGACCATCACCTTAGAGGTTGAGAGCTCTGACACCATTGACAACGTTAAGGCCAAGATCCAGGACAAGGAGGGAATCCCCCCGGACCAACAGAGGCTGATATTTGCCGGCAAGCAGCTTGAGGATGGCCGCACCCTGGCGGACTACAACATTCAAAAGGAGTCTACTCTTCACTTAGTCCTCCGTCTGAGGGGAGGGATGCAGATCTTCGTGAAGACGCTCACTGGAAAGACCATCACCCTAGAGGTTGAAAGCTCCGACACCATCGACAACGTCAAGGCCAAGATCCAGGATAAGGAGGGCATCCCTCCAGACCAACAGAGGCTTATCTTTGCGGGCAAGCAACTTGAGGACGGACGCACCTTGGCCGACTACAACATCCAGAAAGAGTCCACCCTTCACCTTGTTCTCCGTCTTCGTGGTGGTATGCAAATATTTGTGAAGACCCTCACTGGAAAAACTATCACCCTGGAGGTGGAGAGCTCGGACACAATTGACAACGTAAAGGCAAAGATCCAGGACAAGGAGGGGATTCCACCGGACCAGCAAAGGCTTATCTTTGCCGGTAAACAGCTTGAGGACGGCCGCACTCTTGCGGACTATAACATTCAGAAAGAGTCCACGCTCCACCTCGTCCTCCGCCTCCGTGGTGGCCTGTGAGTGTTCTCTTCGTCTTTATAAGCAGTTTGGTCATGATGGCTGAGAGTTGGGAGGTCTTGATGTCTAAGAATTGGGAGTCTAATCGTTTGGTTGTCTGTGTTGCTTGAATTTCTCGTATTAAATTTACCTGTGCTGTCTACTGTTGTGATGATAAACGCTCTATGCACTATCTTTGTTATTATGTATGGTTAAGTTTATTGTACTCGCTATGTTCTGTGTTGGTAATGCTAGTATCTGTTTCAACGTTTCTTTTACAAGAAATTGCATTGGATGAGCTTGTTTTAGGTGATTGTCATATCGAAGCTACGTAGAAGAGATGCTTTGAACTAAGCTTGGCTGTAGTTTTCCCTAACTTCGTTGGATTTTGTTGCAGTTGTAATGTACTTCAAATTGTTAGGTCGAATGCTTTCATGGGCTCATACTTTATAACCAGCCGAATCAGTATGGGTGTCAATTTTGGGTCACGGGTTGGGTTTGGGTCAAATTCAAAATTGATCCGGCTTTGTTTGGGTTAATCCGAATCCGACATATTTTGGGTTCGGGTAAGACTTAAACCTTATTTGGTTATTCCGATCTCCCGTAACTCGGTCACGTTGTGGTTTTGTCCTCGGGCAGTGGTTGCCGGCGGGATAGCAACAGTAGTGCAGGTGGTGACGTGACAGCCAGTAGACCGGCTATAGCGGGAAAGCGGAGCAGGCGACTCGAGCAGACATGACGACTCAATGGCTTGATTCAATGCGATGCAGGGCAACATGGGAAGACGGGTATTTTCGGGTCATTTTGGGTCATTCCTAGGTTTTTCGGTTCAACTTGAACCTGTCTCGATTTTGCAAACGGATCAGTTTTGGACCCGAATCCGACCCGTGTTGGGCTCGGGTCTGATTCGGTCAGGTTTTTGGGTTGGGTTTAATATTGACACCCCTATGAATCAGGGAGGGTAGCTTTAGATTTGAGAAAAAAGTATATTATAATATGGATCTTCTTTGTTATTTAGTAGTGCGCAATTACCTGCATGCAAGTTTTGCCTTAAAAGAATTTCGATAAACTTTTTGGGCTTCTCACTTGCAATGTCCATTGGGAGATCTAGTTCTTACCTTGGTTTGAAGTTGGAGAATAGGAGAAGACATTGTTACTGACTGACCTTGATAGATGCGAAAAAGGGTGCGGTGCATTTGAGTTTTGGGTTAGCAGGTGTGCAACTAGAAGTGACAATCACATAGGATTCACCGTGGGTCTGATCGATCAGTCGACTCTCAAACCCAGAAATTGGCATTCATATCAGCTTGGAAGTTATGTGTGAGGACATAGGAAAAGAAGAAAATCTGTTTGGTATTTACTTTTTAAAATGATTTTTAATTATACTTGTGGGATTTATGATTTATTTTTCAGATTTGCAAAGTTCTTTGGTACATTATTCGAAATTTAATAATATTACCGTTTTCTATGCGTTCTACAGGAAGTGAACCCATCTCAACTTGATCAAATTTCTCATAGAATCAAGTATCTTGGCTGAACTCGTTTAGTCAATTTTATAAATCAGTTAATTAATTGTACATTGAATCTACCTAATTTTGAAGTTTTATCATAGTAAAAGTGTTGTCAAAATTGGGTCACGGGTTGCGTTCGGGTCCAACCTGGAACTGACTTGATACAAGTTAGACTTTTTTGGATTGAAGCTGACCTGTATTAGACTTGGGTCAACCAGACACGATTTACCAACACTAGTTATTGGCTTGTCTTCAACCTCTGCTGACGTTGGGCTGGAGCGAATGGGAGGAGGTGGTGACGACGGAGGCATCCTTAGAGGTGGGCTGGAGCGAATGGGAAGAGGTGGTGACGGCGGAGGCATCCTTAGAGGCGATGGATGGGGCGGAAGTTAGAGAGAATGGCGACAACGACAGAGGCAGAGCTGAGATTGAGAGCAGCGACAGAGTTGATGTGGCGACCTCCTGTTGAGGGCCACACGCAGGTTGACGCGGATGCGAGTGTCGAGCTTAAGTGATGCGGGCGGCTGAGGGCGTAGCTAACGAGACTCGGGCGCCTAATGCGTTTAGTTGACACGATGAGTGTTGAATTGAAAATTTTGGGTCACTTCGAGTCAATTTTAGGTTAGTGGATTGACCTAGACCCGACCAATTTTTTCAAATGGGTCCAATCCTAAAACCCGAATCCAACTCGTTTGTAAAAGGAGTTGATCTTAATCCAAAATTTTCTGGTCGTCGTGTCAAATGTTGGGCCTTGCATTCTACTATATTTTCTTATTTTGTATGTACATGCCTTGAATAATGCATATACGTTTGAAATTTCTTTTATGGCCATAATGTTATACGAGAGTGAGGAAATAAAAAAATTGTTGCAGCTACAGATGCCATCCTTAGCAAAGCATTCCCCGTCTTATTTTGGAATTTAGTGTTTGTGGCAAGAAGACGATAGAATTGATCAAAATATGTAAAGACAAAATAAGGCTCTAATATGAAGTTCTTAATCAGATTTTACAAACGTTTTCATATGGTTCAGGTCTCATGGTGAATTTTGAAAAAAGCTCTGTTATTTTGCCCACTGTTTGTACTAATGCTGAGGATATTTGTTCTACTCTTAATATCAGTAACCCTTCCCCTTCTATGATCTACCTGGGTGTGCCCATTTCGGCTTATAATCCTAAGTTGGCCTGTTTTTCGAAATTACTGGAAGATATTATATCAAAAGTATCAGGTTGGAAGGCAAAAACTTTGTCGTTTGCAGGGAGGTTGCAATTCCTTAGATACACTATCTGGAATACGATAGCCTATTGTGTTCGGATGCTTACGTGGAAAGTTAAAAGTCCGTGATATTTATTTGACTTGCGTATTGATTGAGTATTTATTGCGTATTCGTTGCGTAATATGTGCGTATTGATTGCGTATTTTGTTGCGTATTTATTGAGTATTTGTTGCGTATATGTTGCGCATTTTCTGCTTAATTACTGTTTATTTGTTGTGGATTTCTCTTCGTCCGCAGTAAGTCCGAAAAGACAAACGTGTCGGTAAGAAGTCAAATGAATATCCTAACTTTCCACGTAAGCACGCCACGCGTAATGATTTTACTGGCATCCGAACACAGCTCTATAACTGAATTCCGCACATAATAATTTCTTCCTAATAATGATGGTTGGAAATTGAGTTCTAAGGAACCACATGAGAGTGTTTTGTTCTACATAAGAAGTCATCCTGAAAGTTACAAATTCCCTGTAATTAAGGGAGGATGGTGATATAATATTGGCCACTAATAAGGTCAAAATATTTGTAGCCTTTTTTGAGAGATTGCATATCTAAGCAATATCTCTTGGATCTTGATGACAGTATATCGATAGAGTATGAACAAAGCTATGGGAAGCAATAACAACTAAAAATTGTGGTTCATGGATAGAGTTGTAGGAGAGGGAACAATTGGCTGATAGAATATTGGTGTAGAATATAATGAAATTTGTGCTCGGCTACCCCGTTTTGCTCCGGTGATAGGCAATTGAAATCGTTTATCCATAAGAGTGGATGAATTTTTGTATTGCTTCTATTGACCTCATTTTTCGTGCATTTACCCCTTCATGTTTGAAAACCGTTGGGTGATCCAAATTGTTGTTTGAACCTTCCAACAATGCTTAGGGTCCTCGATTCTATCCCTTTTGGGCTCAGATTAAGTCGAATTTAGGGTTGTTGGGTTTGTATTTTCGAGACGTTCAGTTTGAGTATAAATTTCGGAGTTCACATAGTCATGAATTTCATTTCGGAAGTTTCAAACTTGATTTGCCTTGAGATTCGTGCCCGATCAAGATAATTTTTTGATGATATATCACATATAATGCATTATGTATGCCAATCAATTGAATATTTTGGAGACTGTGCCATTTGATCTTTTTTTTTTTAACTTCGAAACTTATGTCATTTGAAAATATATGTAGTCTTAAAAAAATTCTATAGCATAAAATTGTAATATTCACTACTAAAAATATCAAAAAATTGTCCAATATGCTAACTTTTATTTTTGGAAGACTATTTTGCTGGTTTTTGTGTCATTTTTTATAATTTTGGTTAATTAATTTTTATGCAAAAATCATGTAAATTTTTATATATTTTTCAAAATTTTCACGGAAAACTTTAATTATTTTTATTTTTGAGAATTTTGTTGTTCTCCAATATCCTAATATTGAAATTATAAGCTTTCCATTTTAAATAAATCTATAAGATTAACAATTTATAAAAAAAAATTAATTTTTTTCTTAAACATAGATAACATTATTGGCTACTTTCATAAAATTTTTTCTATAAAATATCATTAGTAATAGGATAAAAATTTCATTAACAGTGGCTTTCTTCAATCTATTTTAAATAAAAATATTATTAGTTATTGAGATCATGAATTTGTCGTTACTTGTATGACCATCTCCAACTGAAAAACTCAAATTTCACTCCAAAATACAATAACTCTTCAAAATGTAGTAATTCATATCCAATAAAACTCTATTTCTTAACACCAAAAAATAATATTCCTTATATATTCTTTCTCAACCGAACTCCATGTGCTAGCAGCTAGCCTTTCTATGCCTCCGGTTCCTCTCTTTCCACCAAAAAATGTGTTTGTGAACAGTGCAATGTCAATATTGACGACGCACTATTCACAAACGTGGGAATGGAGCATGTGTTGTCGTTCGATCGAAGCAAAGCACAGACACCAAACACAGGTATAAAGTTAGGTTGGAGATGGACCAAATTATATATATAGACTAAGCATAATTAATCCTTTTAATAAGAGTTTAAGCATGTTAAAAAAAAGTAAAAAGTAGGCAAAGTCATCATTTAGATGGACGACTTATACTAACTAGGCACTGCTGAGTGAGCTAGTCATTACCAGATCAAAATTAAGTTTTGACATAAGTCGCCGAAGTAATTGGCAAATTATATAAGTCACTACTTCAACGGGCGACTTATATTATGAATTAAAAAATAATAATTCCTCTTAGAGTCCTATAAGAAGCTAATGGGAGTTACTGTGGTTGGAGATAAAGAAGAAGTTTCTGAATGCAGCAAACTGGCAGAATATTCGGCATGAGTATGAGTACCACTTCAACTGTTGTCCAAATCATACTCAACTTTAAGCTCTCCTGCATATGATAATATGAAAATGTCTAACGGAATGTATTTGTTATGATATATTTTGAATTCTTTATATTTGTTTTCTCTTGTATGCCAAACCCGTGTATTATTGTTCTTACAATTTTTGCTTTTATTGTGTT